AATAACTTTCTTTTACTGATCTCTTTATGTTGTTGGGGTTTTGAGGGGGAGGGAGGTTGGGCAGTCCTGGAGCTTAAACATGGGGCCTTGTGTTTGCACTCTACCATTTGAGTCATAACTCCAGACCTTTTTAATATAAAGTTATTTAGAGACAGTCTTGCATTTTTGCCCAGGCTAGCCTGGACTGTGTTCTTCCTACCTCTGGCCTCCAGTTCATGTAGCTGGGACTATCTATATATTCTCCCGCGCCAAGCTTTTTTTTTTAGGTACATGACCAGGACTTGAACTCAGTAGCTAATGCTTTCACTCACTGGCTAGTATTCTATCAACTAAGCTACATTTCCAACCCCACCAAGCTTATTTTTTTAAGATAGAGTCTTGGTAACATTTTGCCCAAGTTGTCTCCAAACCATAATCCTTCTATTCTCCACCTCCAAAGTAGGCTGAATTATAGGAGTGAGCCACCATGTCCAGTCAAAATTTATGTAATTGTAATCTTGTCAAGGGTCTCGACTGTACCAACTAAAAAAAATTCTTACAGATTTTTGGCTTTTATGATATCTAACAGAAAAGCAATTTGGTATAAAGATGATGGAGTTTTCTCCTGATTTGATGAAAAATACTCAGATGGGAAGCCAAATCCAGAAAGAGAACACCTGGAATAACTTTCACAGATAAAATGTTTGAAAGGTTACCAATCACCATAAAGCAAAATACATACCACAAATGTGTGTGTGTGCACAAGCATATGTATGTGTGCACTGTGTGCATGTGTGCATGTGTGCATGCATAAATGCATTCGTGTTCAGAGCATGTACTCTTTACACTGGTTAGAAACAGCAATCACAAAGGAAAGAACTACCATCCTTTGTGACCAAGGAGATGCATAGACCATTTAAAATAAAATCGTAGCCATTTCTAGATGTTATAACTGTGTAACACACTTCATTTCACAAGTTTTCACACATACACACAAGCAAAGATAAGGCCCTGTTGACACTGGAATAGAGAGGTGGCATGTGGCCATGGGGGGGAGGGGAACCACTGGGAGCCAGAAATCAAAAATAAAATTGCTTTCACTCATAAGGTGGATCATAGTGTAAGTCATTTAAGATCCTGTCACATTAATAGCTACCTGCAACACTAATTCCACATTAGCAATCTGTCACACTACTTTCCTAACTTTGGTGTAATAGGTCTCTCTCTTACTGTAATACTCCACAAATAGCAACAGCAGGCTGGCCTAAAGAGAAGCTATCTGAACATAAACTACGTATGTTGTTTATGATGTGTTTCCTCTGGCCTCTGCAATCTGTGACTCTGATTTCATGTGACTGTTGTATCTGGGGAAACGTGTTTTACCTCCAGCGACATTTGTCAAGGTTATTCATGGGCTTCTCAGATTGCCTTAGGTAGAAAATAGTCCAAGGTGCTTTCCACAGGATTTACCATCCAGACACATATACTGCATACTAAAAATTATTTATATTAGCTTTAGTAAGTGTTTTTAGTTGAAGGGGGAAAAAAGATGTACCCTTGTCCTCAGGAAACCCTAGCAACTAATCACCTTATACTCCATAATATTCCCATCAACAATCAGAAATGGGTACTTTGCCAATTTTATTCTCCCTCTGGAGACAGGCAATTAGCATTAAATCAATATTTCCAGGACTAGTGTATACAAGACCACCTGAGACTTGAAAAATATGACGAATTGTTTTAACTGTGATCATACATAGTCACGGCATTCAAATACACATTCACCCTGTAACAGGATCTGTCTGTACTTGTGCCAGAAACTAAACAAATCCACAGCTTGGGAAAAGCCATGTGACACGGACAGAAAAACTGTTTTGACATTCCTAAAGCACATGGAGATAGAGACACGGTTACACTAAACACTGCTTAGAGTGAGCGCCTTATAAGGAGTGGGCGCATGCCACAGGAGAGTTGTAAAACAAGTCACGGAAAGAATGAGCCATGCAGATCCAGGGGCCAGGCTGCCACTCGTGTGACAGACAGCCCACAGCCACTGAAATGGCTTTAGGTGAAAGTAGGGTGACTGGTCTTCATGAGGGAAACTAAGTTGTGGTTAATGTAAGTGATAGTTCAGCCCAGATTCACAAATAACATACCCTAGAACTTGGAAGCATCAATAAAGGCTGGCAGGCCTCCATGCTCTCCATGAATAGAATGCAACTACATTTCCAACACAGCCATCTCCTCTCACTCTTGGATACTGTGCGCTACTCAGCTTCCCCATTAATAAGCATGCTGTCTCAAGTATTCTCAAGGAGCATTAAAAACACTGCAGTGCAAAGCCATCGCAGGCAGAAAAGTCCATGAGACTCTTATCTCCAATTATCCAACAAAAATGCCAGAAGAGCACTAGCCCTGAGCAAAAGAGCTCAGGGATAGTGCGGAAGCCCTGAGATCAAGCCCTAAGACCATCACCGAAAGAAAAAAAAAGCAAAACAAAAGAACAACAACAACAAAAACCCAACAACCCACTCCCCATGTTCAAGAAGATAAGCAGCATAGCTCAGGAGAGTGCTCCACAGCGGTGTGTCATGGTGTAGGCAGCAAGTAACAAGCTTCTAACAAGTAGATAGGACACTTGGTAATATAACGTTAACACTCTCCATAATACATATCAGTCTCGTTCACATGCCACTTCTTGTAATTGTGTAGTTTTCTGTGCCTGGCTTTGTTTCACAACAGATTTTAAAAACAACAGTAATGTAGGAATAGCTCTGAGAGAGACGATAAGAACTTTTAACAACATATATGTTTTTAAAACCTGGAAACATAGGGATGCCAATCAAGCGTATTTTCACCTCAGCTCTGGGAGTGAAGGAGACATGATCGATGGTGCAGTGGAACAGGACACTCAGAGGCCCTTACGGGTCTCAACCTCCCCCCTACTGTCTGCCACGCCTGGAGCCCTGGTGACGACATCTTTTTTCATAGGCTGAGGAAACATCTTCTGATCTGTTCCAACATTGTATGTGCTAGCTATGTACTATCCAAAGATTCCCCATAAATAAAGTACCTCCTTTCTGCCAAACAGTAAGAATACGAAACTTCAAAGGCTCCTGTCAAGTTATGACATGTTAAGACAGTTAAGACTGGCACGCTACAGATTTGTATGAGCTTCATGACAAATAATGTAAATAATGTTGGTGTATTTGAATTCCTTTTCTGTGAATTGCCTGTCCATAGTCTTTGCCTGTGCTTTCCACTAGATTGCTTCTTTCTTAATTTAGTCACAGAAAACTGGTTATATAATCGGAATTAATCTGTATGCATTTTGGTTGGTGGTGGCAGTATTAAGGTTTGAACCCATGGCCTTGCGCTTGCTCAGCAAGTTACTTTACCACTTGAGCCATGACTTCAGCCCTTTTTTGCTTTATTGCTTTAGACAGGGTCTTGCACTTTGTATCTGGATGGGCCTGCCATGACCATCTTACTACCTATATCTTCCATGAAGCTGAGCTTACAGGAGTGGACCTGTATTCCTGTCTTGTTTTTATTGAGATAGGGTCTTGCTAACTTCTAACTTCTTTCACCTGATTTGGCCTTGAACCTCAATCCTCTTATAGCCACCTCCACAGTCAGCTGGACTGCAAAGCAAAGAGCCACCACTATGAGAATTCCTGAGTCACATATATGGGATATCTCCTTTCCTATTCCATGAAAATGTTAAGCACTGCCTGTATACACTGTAACAATTTTAAAAGGAACACCTCAGCAACAAGCAGTAAAGATGTAGATATAAATGCCACGGGTCCCAGGCATTCCATCTCTAGGCGTGGAATTCCACTCAAGGAAGCTCACATGCATGAGTACCAAGAAACACTTAAAACGTTGCTACTAAACAGCTGTCTGCAACTGCAAAACAAGTGAAAACAGCAATGGCTTCCTAACCCGAAAACCATTCCCCCCTCACTTCATCCTCACTTCTCTTTCTAGTTTTGTTTGTTTACTTGTATTCTCTTCCTTAAGGCAGTATTAGTGAGTGCCTTCTCTGGCCATACAGTAGGCTAGACAGGTGGCCATACTTAACTACCTGCAGCTGTCCTGTGAGAACGCAGTCTTACTACCTTTAGGAGACTCTTCCTGACCTTAGTGTGATCCAGACATGTACAACACTGTCCGTATCACTGTAAAGTGCTTGTCAGGTCCCCACTGTTATTCAAGTAAGAAAGTTAGTGGAGACAGTCCCAACACGTAAGAAAGGATAATTCCATTCTTACTAGATCCCATCCAACAATTACCAAGAAAGAAATTTTATTTTCTAGGCTAACACGCAATCTGGGATAGTGCTCTTGTGACTATGGTTTGGTCAGCATGTTCTCCCAACACTTAGCCAAACATACAGGAGCCACTAACACATACTAAGTTAAAACAAAACCTCCCAAGGAACATTATCCCCAAATCTACACTTAAAAAGTGAACAGAGAACACACTGATTTTATAGATGCATTATTACTGAATAAAAATTGTTTGCTGTCTTAAGTAAAAAAAATTTCTATTCCTGGTGAGTTACCTTTTCACAACCCACATATTTTCCGAACACATCTCAATGACTTTTTCTATGCAAGGCTATGCAAAGGAAAACCAGGTATTCCCCAAAGCTATTCATGCCAGAATTTCAGTGCTCTGCCCTCTAACTCCATGGTTATGCTCACCCAAGAGAACCTAAATTTTCTGTGTCCTATAGCCTAACTCTAGGTGGCTTCCAGCTGAATACTACACTTTTTAACTACACTCATGAACTGCCCCTCCCCGCCCCACTCTTGCTCCATCAGGAATCACTTTGTCCTCTCTACTTTCTGTAGTTAGCTCACATGGCAGCTGGCTTCCCTCAGAGCAAGGGAGAGAGAGTGCTCACGTCAAAAATCTCGCCTCCTTACCAAGAGTATGTTTCCTACTCTCCAAAGGACCTGCTAAACTAAATTCATCCCCTAGACCAATTAGACCAAAAATCATCCACTCACCTGTTATGGCTGAGAGAAGCCGAGACTGGAGTAGGCACCACAGTCTGTAACCCTTCCCCTTCTATCTCAGTACCAACTAGACAGATGAGTTGTAGTTCTGGTAATCCCACACAATTTACTTCATGCCAACTTTTACCTAAAACAGAATCATCGAATGGACAATAATTGATTGTTAAAAGCAAACAATGCAAGCTCTACCCAAACTTAGCTGAGCAAATATCATTCATAAATATTATCTTCTCTCTTTACTTTTCTAGCCTTTTCTGCTATGTAATTATTCCTAATGTAAAGGAATGAAGAATGATTAATTGGCAAAATTAATAACAAATACAAAAAGTGGTTGCTTATTATATGTTAACAATGCTATATTCCATCCCAATTCCCAAATCCCCAGCATGGCCCCAATAACCAAACAACATAAACAAAGAACTTACTCTCCATGAGATCCAGGTAAACCAAGAATGAAATATAAACTTGAGTGGCATCTCCTATGTCTAATTCCATCATTTCTAAGTACTGAAAATAAAAACGTAATTGTCAAATAGGAAAGGAAGAATCTTTCAGTATTTTTCAGTGAAGTATTCACTGAATGCACACATATACGTATATCATCATTAGGATAATTTAAAAAATCTTAGTGGAAGAAACAAGACAATATAAGATCCAATCTTTGTAAGCAAATCTGTAATTGCTAGAAAAAAAGCACATACATAGTCTTCCCTCTAGGATCCATAGAATGGCTCTAGGACCTTCTCCCCACCCTCCCCTCCCCCACTACTAATACCAGAACTCAAGAATGTTCATCTCTGTAGTATTTGCCTATAAAGAAATCCATCCACAGAGAAGACAAACTTTAATTGTATTTTTGTTGGGACATGTTAGTAAAGAGCTTCTACTTCCCCAGTTTCTTAGTTGCATGTAGAGAGAGTCTGCTAAAATACCATTCCTACCTAGTGTCACTCACTCATGAGTATAGACAATTATGTCCTTGTTGCATTTTAAAGAAGAAAACTACTGAGGCTTCCAGATATATCAGTGACTGGATGGATACAGAGGGTTAATAGGATGATCTCTGATATCTACATGGCAGCTCTGAAGTCACCTTTCTCCATCAGCTTCGTGGCAAAGGTACCAGTGCCTGAGAGCCATGCTGAGTTGTCTACTCCAGTCAGAAAATGTGTTTGAAAAATAATGCTAATGTTGTGCCAGGCTGCAAGGTCTTTGTGTGTAAACTAAAAATGTGAATTATAGAACAGCATGACTTGTGTATAATGATACATCAGATGCCATTTCACTAGAAATACTGATATGATCTTACTGAGTAATGGAAACTCATCCATTATTTCATCTTAAAAGTTTTTTTTTTTCTTTTGGTAATTTTTGTGCCAGTTCTGAGACTTGAACTCAGAGCCTGGGCACTGTCTCTGCACTTTTTTGTTCAAGGCAAGCATACTACCACTTGAGCCACAGCTCCAATTTACAGCTTTTAGATGATTAATTGCTGGTAGAGTCACATAGACTTTCCCCGAAAAGGTGGCTTTGAACTCAAATCCTCAGATCTCAGCCGCCTGAGTAGCTAGGATGGATTAAAGACCACAAGCCCTTGGTTGGTATTTTCTTCCTAAGGCACTAAATAACATTTCCATGCTATTGTTTCTTTTTTAGAGGTCTGAAAGGGAGACCGCAGGGAGACAAAAATCAAGCAAAAGAAGCTGAAAAAGAAACTCACTCTGGACTCCATTTTTTTTCAAGGTTTTTTGTTCTTTTGGGTAAGGGGGAGTGCCGTTTTATCAATGCGCTGGTCTGGTCCCTGAGATTCCTGACAGATCCCATCACCTCTACAACTCAGCACCAACTCACTGCCAAGCAGCAGCAGGGTCGGGGCTATCTGCCTGCTACTGGGGAAAACACACCCCGCCTTGGGCAGGAACCCACTGCACCGGCGCGGGACGAGGCGCACGCCGAGCCCGGGCTGAAGCTTGGCTCCTCACGGACTCGGAGGCCCAGCCCACGACCACACACCGCCGCGGCTTTGCTCTGTCTGGGTAACAGAACAGAAGCAAGCGGGTGTTCGGATTCGGAGGTCGGTGCGCACCGCCGCGCGTCCGCGGGTCGCAGGGGGACCGCGGCCCGCGAGTTCCGCCTGAGAAAGGGGCCGGGGCCGCCCTCGTCCCCCGCCGCTGACCTTAGGGTGCGTGGCCATCCAGGCGTCCTCGGGGGCCCACGGGGGAGCGCCGCCGTCGCCACCCCCGCCACCGCCTCCAGGGTCCGCGCCGCCACCGCCGCCAGGAGCCGGCTCGGAACCGACCTGCTCCTCCATGCTGGCCCGCGCGGAGCGCCGCGACCCGGACCCGGCCGGAAGCAGGGAGCGCGCGCGCCGCCGTGCCGCTCTTCCGCCGCCGCCGCGGGGTTGCCCGGGACGCCCCCACCAGCCGCTCCTTCCAGAACGTTCTCTAGGCCTTTGCACTCCGCGGTGCTCGCGTCTTGAGCGCACGGGGGTGTGAAAGGGTTAGGAGAGGCCGCAGCCCCCGCCGGCCCGGCTGCTCTGGGGAACGTGGGGTAGCTCGCGTCCGCCTCGCCCGGCCTGGGCCCCGGACTCCCCGGTCCCGCGGTCGAGGGGAGCCACCCCGGGAGCCGGGAGCCGAGCGCCCGCCGGGAGCCTGCGGGCCCTGCCGGCCCGGGGCCAGCGCGGGGCGCGTGGGCAGCTGGGCGCGGTGGGGGTCACTGCGTGTGAAATGGGGAGACCCTGGAGGGACCGGCGGAGCGCCCAGGGGCGGCTCAGCGGCCGTTAGGTGAATCCCAGCAAGAAGTAGCTCTCGAAATCCGAAGCGTGAGAAGCCGGGAGTGAAGCTGTGGCTTAAGTGGTAGAACCTGGGACCGTGCCCAGGCCCTGAGTTCAAGCCCCAGCACCGGCCTAAAAACAAGTTATTCACAGTTCCAGGTAGAAGAGAAATTATTTCTTCGGGAACATGAGCAACTAAGAACCTGCCGCCGAAGTGACAGGTAAGAATTTTAAAGAGACCTGTATTACAATCATCTTCAATGAAGTAAAAGCATGTTGTCCGTGGACGGAAACCTGGAGACAAATAGAAAAGAGAAGAAAAGTGTGAAGCCATTCTGCCACTAAAAATGATAATTTCAGAAATAGAAAGCGCATTGGGCAGTTTTAACAGCTGAGACAACTTACAGAGAAGTAAGTGAACTTGACATTATCTAAGGTGAACAACAAAGTAAAAAATTTTGGGGGGAAAAAAAAATCCTTGGAGATGTGTTATGTGATGTTAAGCAATCCAGTACACGTGTCAGTAACAGAAAAAGGAAAGGATGGGTCAAAAAATGAAAAATGGACAAAATGTTACCAAATTAAATGAAAGAAAATTCCCAATACCACAATGATTTTCTAAGAGAGTAACACATGGGAGTTTGTGCTATTTCAAACTGTTGCAAGTCAAAGAAAAACATCCTTGAATGCATTAAAAAGAACAAAAGGAAACATCACAGGTGAAGGCTTATAAATGGCCCTAGAATGTGTTGGAACCTTAGCTTTCACAAAGTAGCTACAATCACCCAAAGAAATAAATAGTGCTGAAATAACCAGGCTCCTTGAAACACTGAACACTGCCATTAAAGTAATTATAAAAGAATAGATCTGTCTATCAGACCCCTAAAAATCTAAATCAGTTCATATTCCTCAGGTGAGTAGAAAGGAACTTCTATAAAACCATAAAAAGGTCTAAGGAAATTAGATACTATTTGAACACGGCTCAAAACATCTTTTACAGCGCCAGCCGGTGGCCCCATGCCTGTAATTCTAGCTACTCAGGAGGCTGAGATCTGAGGTTCACGGTTCAAAGCCAGCCCAGGCAGGAAAATCTGTGAGACTCATCTCCAATAAACCACTCAGAAAACCGGAAGTGACACTGTGGCTCAAGTGGAACAGCACTAGCCTTGAGCTGAACAGCTGAGAAACAGCGCCCAGGCCCAGAGTTCAAGTCCCACGACTGACCCAAAAAAAAAAATTAAGAAAAGACTTGTCAGTTTAAGAAAAAGAGCTGGGGCAGAAAGGAAAGCCCAAAAGGATGGATAAAACAACTGATAAATGTCACCCTTGGGCAAATACATTAAGTTCTATTGCTTAAAAAATAAAGCATAACTATTTTTACAATAAAAATATACAAAAACAAAAACGATTATAAAATGAAGCACAAGATCACTAATGTTAGCTATTCAAACACAATTTAAAAATAAAAATTCTTTGTTAGCTTCAAAAAAGAAAAGAAAGCATGATATATTCAAGGATAAGTATTAAATGATTCTGACTTTTAATTCACTAAGAGAATGAAAATGGAATCTCTCTTAGCTTTCACATTAAGCCATAACAATAATGTGGGGTGGGTACCGGCGTTTGCACTCAGGTCTTGCTACAAGCATGCACTACTGCTAAGCCAAGCCGCCAGTCCATTTTTGCACTGGCTATTTTGAGATACGAGTTTTACTTTTTGCCTGGCCAGTGCCTGGTCTGTGTTCTAATATTTTATGCTTCCTGCTATAGGTGGGATGACAGGTGAGTATCCCTGTCTTCTAAGATTGGAGTCTTCTGAATTTATCACTTGGACTGATCTAGACCCATGAGTCTCCTGATTTCAGGCCCCTACCGAGCTGGGATGACAGGTAAAGCACCACTGTGCTCACTGAAACTGTGTTTCAAGGACTTTTTGCTAGGGCCGCCTCCACCTATGGTCTTCCCAATCCCTCCTCCTGAGTAGCTAGGATTACAGGCATAAGATACTACACTTGGCTAAGCAAACAAAAACTTTCAAATACATTTTGTTGATTGGAAATGGGTAGAATTAAGTACAAAGGATTAGAAAATTGAAACGGCTCATCTGGCAATCTAGTGAAATGCATTTGAGAACAGGATAGAGGCTCAGCTTCTGATTTTCTAAAGGATTTCTCCTCTTAGGACTGCCTAAGTAGTTCACTATATCAGAGAACCAAAGTGGCTAGTGGGAATGTAACAGGTAACAAAACATAACATTCCCTCTTGAGTTTACTGTACTTAATCAAAGCCTGTAATTTGGCACCTAGTAGACTGATGTCCCAGCCTGATACTGCAAGCCAGACCATTTTATTCCTGCAAAAGAAATCTGATATCTAGACAGACGTATTAATTCAGCTAGAGTCTCAAGAGGAAAAGCAAACACCAAATTGTGATGCAAACCTTTAGTGTGCTAAAAAAAAAATTTTAAGGCTTTTATACAGTGGTCTTTTAGACTTATCTCAGGCTAAATACAGACTAGCTTTCTAGATCAGCTTTTTATACACTGAGGATTCATATATGTCTTGTTATATATTTGTACACAAATCATGTAATTTCCTGTTCTCTGTGTCTTAAGAATAGCTGAGATATTTATTCTAATAAAATATTTAGGAATCTATTTTATCTCTATATTATCTCTATTTAATCTGTTTTATCATTCACACACATTAACACATATAAGGTAATCACCGTGGTGTCAAGAACTATGTGGATGATGTTCTTTCCACTTTTTCTCATAAATTTCAAGTGCTATCTAAGCAATCGGAAAATAATATATTTGATTTTAAAGGGAAGGTTTACATTTAGAACAAAACAACACAAAAATGTTACTATAAAAAATAATTGGATAAGAATACTGTTCATTTGGAAAGACTCAATATTGTAAAGGTGGCAGTCTCACCCTAATGTATAGATTATAGCAATCCCAACCAAAATTCCAGGGATACTCACGTGTCATCCCACCTATAGCAGGAAGCATAATTGGAATAATATTTGATAAGCTGCTTCTGAAATGTAGGCATAAAGATCCCAAAACAAGGGTTTTCTTAAGAACAAATGGAAGGGACTTTTATGCACATCTGCAATCAAGAGTGTAGGCTAAGGCCAAGTGTTCTGCAACGTGTCTATAATACCAGCACTCAGAAAGCAAAAGCAAAAAGAATCTAAGCTAGAGGTCAAATCTGGCCTATTCAGCAAGATTGTATTTGGAGAGGTTGGGGGAAGGAAAAGGAGAAGGAGGGTAGCAGAGGGCAGGAAAGGGAGAAGAGGAGAAGAGAATGAGAATGTGATGTTGGTACAGGAGTAGGTGAATAAACAGAACAAAGTAAAAAGTCAAGGAACAGAGCAGTGCAGGTGTGGGAAGAGGAAAGGACGGACAATTCAAAAAAAAGTATGGAGGCAAAAGCAAACACTTTAACATTTTTAGTAAAATGTATGTACAAAAGAGTATTTTGTAACTATAAGATACAGATTACTTTCTTCAACAAGACCCTAAAACACAAACTATATGAAAAAATGCTTGACAAACTTCATTCTATTTTAGTTAAGAATTTCTGACACAACAATTCACAGAAGGCATTTATGACACGATGAAAAGATAAGGCTCGAGTCTATAACACTAGCTCCTGAGATCTAAGATCTGAGGATTGAGGTTCTAAGCAGCCCAGGAAGACAAATCCTAGAGACTCTTACCTTTAACAAGCCAGCAAAAAGGCAGAAGTAGTGGTATGGTTCAAGTGATAAAGAAAAAAGCCTAAGGTGAGCATGAAGCCCTGAAATGGGGGCTGAATGGGACAACAACATACCTAGAATATATACAGAAGTCCTCAAAACTAGTTAGGAAATAAAGCAAAACATTAAAACTTGCAATTAAAAACATTAGTCCCTGTGATTAGTGGCAGAATGCTTGGCCAGCAAGTGTGCTCTGAGTTCAATTCCCAGTAATAAATAAATACATAAATTTCCCTAAGAATATCTCTGAAGTTGTTTTCATCTTGTAAGAATGAAACTCTGTGCCCATTTAATTACTGCCCACTTAATTTCAACCCCAGGCAGCCACTATTCTAATTTCTATAAATTACACAGTATTTGTCTTCTTGTGACTAGCTTATTTCATTTATTATAATGTCCTCAAGCCTGCACTATTGGAGCAGATGTGAAAACTAACCTTATAACACACCATGGTAGGCATCTACTACAATTTGAATGGCTATTCATTGACTTACAGATTGCTCTACCTTTCAGCTGTTGTGAACAATGCTCCTTTGTATATAGGAGTACAAATACCTGGATTTTTCTGGGGTGGTTGTTTTGGTGAAATGGTGGATCATACAATAATTCTATTTTATTAAGGAATTGTTATACTATTTTCCATAGCAGCTGTACATTTTAACATTCACAGCACTAATATACAAGTTCCAACTTTTCTAAATCCTTACCACAGTTTGTTATTTTCTGTTTTGGTCTTGGGTTTTTGCCAGTTGCCTTCCTAATGGGTACAAGGTATTATTTTAGTTTTGATGTGCATTGCC